ACTATGATTTTCTGAGTGGCAAGGGGGCGTCCTGTTTTTGCGCCCCTCTCCTGTCGCCACTTCTTTTTTCTTCATCTGGCGTTTCAAGGCCTCCATGTCCGCCGCCATCTTTCTTATCAATTCATCTTGCTCTTTCACGCGATCTTCCAGAGCTTGAGGATCAATCCTCCGTCTTTGCCTATCAGGACTTTGCGAACGAAAGTAACGGGGGCTGTTAGTTCGCCTCCCCCTAGTATCCCTCCTGGTGTTATGTCGTTGGGGCTCCAAGTCCGCCATGGAAGAGACAGAGGGTAATCCTTCACGCCTTGCGCCCCCATCTGGAGTTAGCCCGTCAACGGCGGACTGCGGTAATTCTTCAATGTGTGCCATTGATCGTAAAGGGGAGAAGCTTTAATCAAGAGGTTTTGTTCTGCCTATTATTCCCACAGACGGCGCCAATTGTACGGGAAAGAAATACACCTTCTCGTATAATCCTGTTGACTAAGTCCGCGCTCCTCCGTACGACGTCGCTTTGTCACCTGAAAACACAAACGTGAGCTAACCGGCGGGTGTGTGCTGGAAACCTCTCCGATGCCTAAGTTAGCAAACTTGACAAATAGACAAAGCTCAATGTATTCAGAAAGCAAAATTGTGTGTTACCTTCTCCAAGGTGATGTTTGTGAGTTTTTATAGGTTTCGAGTGGCACAATCCTAGTAGGACTTCTATTCCTCCATGTAGAATCCTCCTAGGATTCATACTCCTGTAGGATAATGCTTATCCTTTAACACCCCCCCTCACTGCTTAAACCAAGTGAGATGGTTTTTGCCATGGTCGAACTACCATATGACCGAAATAAAACTGGCTATGCTGAGCCACAGAGTAGGCCGAACTATCCTTAGTTCGGTTTTACCATTTACTTCTCCTTATCTCGGTTCTCTCCTGTTCAACCCATGGTGTGTTTAGACCGAGCTACCGAGTAGCAAGGTTTTGACCGTTATAACCATAATACAGCATGACCGGACTACCTCTGAGACTGGCCTAACTCCAAGTTGTTTTCGGACCGAAGTAGCTTTACAATTCGTGAGCCGAAGTAACTTAATCTCTCTTGGCCCGAGGTAACTTTACCCAGTCCTTCGCACTATGGGCCATAAAGTCCTTCTCATAGCTCGGCCCAATTTTCACTAAAAATTACCCTCTCAGAAGGGAAATAAAGAGGAAAGAAAGAGAGGAATAGAAGGAAAGAATAGTGGAAGGTGAAAGAGTTTTTGGTGGTGGAAAGAAAGAGTAAAGTATTAAAGTTAAGGTGAGTTATTTTATATTTTGAGTTACCAAAATATATTGTACTTATATTTTGACTTACCAAAATCTATTTTATACAAGTTATGTTTTATTAGTATATTTATAAAAATTATGTTTTATAAAGGTTTCAGTTACGTGGATTATTTTATGAACTCTATTTGCTTAAAAGGAAACCCATGGATATATTTGTTTTACTTTTAAAGAATATTTGGCTATGACCTTATATAAAAATATGTTTTGTAAGTACCACCACGAGAGTCCCATGCCTTGGGGGACTTAAATAACCATTGGCTTAGGGAGTCCCATGCCTTGAGGACTTAAATAACCATTGGCTTAGTGATTGACCACTTTGTGGTCCAGTGTTTGTTGTGGATCCATTGATCAGTGTAGTGCTTGGCACTTAGTGATGTACCGTGGTTATGGTTATATAGTGATTTTCGTATTACATATTACATGTTAAATGATCTGAAGTATACGCCAAATGATTTCTGTATTATGTATGTTATGTATCAAACTTTTTTTGGCCCAACTAATTATCCATGGTGAATTTTATGCCTTATACCCTTAGTATAATATTTCTCACTCTGCCATGAGCTTATAGTTTGTTTACCACTTTCAGGTGACATGTCGGGACCAGCGTGTGGGGTAGGCACAAAGCACTTTTATTGATGTATTTTTTTATGTAAATATCGGCCTTTTTGGTCAATATATTTTGTAATAAAAATAGACGCTCCAATGATTATTTTAGTACCCTTATTTAAATATTTCTTCTGCTTGCGTTTATTAATTTGTTTAAAGATTTGGCCGGAGGTAACCTCGGTTACTGGTCATCACGATACTTAACCCTTGGGTACAGAGAGCGGGTCGTGACAGATAAGCAAAAATATTAGCACAAATAGATTCGATTTGGAAAGAAGAGCAAAAATACTAGGACAACTAGATTAAAATAATTTGAACACATAGATTATAATAATTTAAACAATTTGGACAAGTAGGTTAAATTTTTTTTGGATATAGATTAAAATAATTTAGACACATATGTTAATAATCTAGTGAAAAGTAATTTGGATAGATAGGTTAAAATTATTTGGATAATTTGGACAGATAAAATTTACTTGGGACAGATAGTTTAAAATAATTTGAACATATAAATTAAAAATATTAGAACATAATTTGAACAAATAGGTTTAAATAATTTGAACAGATAAGTATATACATGGCATTTACTTGGGACAAATAGTTTAAAATAATTTGAACAGATAGATTATAATATTGGGACATAATTTGAAAAGATAAGTTCAACTAATTTGGACAGATATGTAGGTATATCCATGGCATTTATTTGGGATAGATAGTTTAAAATAATTTGAACAGATAGGTTCAAATAATTTAGACAGATAATGTGTATGGCGTGGAGCCTATGCCATGCCATTTAGATTGTAACAACCCTACGATAGATTAAAAGTTTAAGTTCCTGCTATGTCATATAGTCCCTCCGACAATCCCTGTCTTAAATTGAAATTTTAGAATGGGTAATTTTGAATATATAAGACAACACGAAAGTAACCTGAATATTGGTAAACTTACCCTCTTTGGATTATACTAGCTTTTTCCATTCTATCATTTTATTTCATGTATGGTACTAAAATGTAACATGAGCTCCTCTCAATATAGTCCGGATCCTCTCCAGCGCTCCTCTCCGGCTCTTCGTCCGGTCGACGGACAAGATTCCACCACGTCATCCATGACAAAACCTACGGTTCAGATCAACTAAAAAAAAATATAAAAAAAAAATTGAATGGTTCTGTTCTGTCCCACGTCAACTCACACACACACACTTACTCTCACTCACTCACTCTCTCTCTCTTTCTCTCTTCTAATAAAAAATTAAAAAAAACTATTTTAATCTTTTTAATTTTATTTTCTTAATGTTTTATAAAATTAATATCATTTAAAATATACCTTTAATATGAGACTAATATTAAATATATTTAATAAAAAAATAAAATAAATAAAAATAATTACTATGTTTAATTATGTTTTGAAATTATTATTTTTTAAATATAAAAATTAATTTGATGAAATAAACACACAAAAATCATATATTTTTGAAATTCTCAAAAATAATCTTCATTCCAAAAAAACTCATATGAAAATAATTTTTTTAAAGGAAATAAAAAACACACAAATCCAATCTTTGCATTTAAAAAAAAAAACACACACATAAATCTAATCTGTGCATGCAAATCAAATACATCATGTTTTTTTATTTTTCATATGATTTTTTTTTTAAATGAAGTTTGTTTTTGAGAATTTAAAAAATATATGATTTTTGTGTGTTTATTTTATCAAATTAATGTTTATATTTAAAACATAATAATTTCAAAACATAACTAAACATGTTAATTACTTTTTATTTATTTTAAATTTTTATTAAATATATTTAATATTAGTTTCATTTTAAAGGTATATTTTTAATGATATTAATTTTATAAAATATTATTAGAAGAGAGAGAGAGAGAGAGAGTGTGTGTGAGCGAGAGTGATGAGTGAGTGTGTGAGTTGATGTGAGACGGAACCATTCAATTTTTTTTTTTTTAAGTTAATCAAAGATTTTGTCATGACTGACGTGGCGGAATCCTATTCGTTGACCGGAGGAAAAGCTAGAGGGGAGCACTGGAGAGGATCCGAACTCCTCTCGATATGTCTCAAAAAGAATTTGACTTTTTTTGAATATTTTTTTTTAATTATAAAGAAATGACAGTTACACAATTGGAACAACATTATCAAATTATGACATTTTGATAGGATTTGACTTTAACATTGTCATTTTTTACACAAATCATTAGAGATACTCTAAACATGACAAATCTAACAAGTAATATTGTAGTACATAAATGAATTTCATATTAGATTTTTCACTACTAAGCATAAAGACTTGCCTCAATAAATACATGTAAAGCCTATTTATAAACTATCGATAAAAAAAAATCTTATAACTATAGCGTTTTCCCAAATCCAACAGTAGATAGTTCATTTTTAACATTATCATCCATTTAGTGGATTGTCATAGTCATTTTCAAGTCACTACTAATGCTTATTCTAATTTTTTTATCAAATTTGAGTAAAGATTTGATGAAAAGTTTTGTCTGATACTACGTGTTCTAACGCTAATTTTTCAATTTCATCAAACAACCAATTGACTAGGAGGACAACTGACAATGGGTAACTTTGCAAGCAGAGGGTTGTCTAAGAGGACAACCGGCCAGTCATCCGGTGTATAGTGAAGCCTCAACGGCTAACTACAAAAATTTGATGAATGCTGAAACCTCTCTCAATTTGATGAAAGTTTTGGGTTTCTTCTCATTTGATATGAGTTTGATATCATGATTGGAATAGAAAAAATGTACTTATTTTATCAAATTTAAATTTGATAGAAAAGAAAGTAAGCATTGAAGACGCTCTAATCAACTAAAAAGTTGTATCTCTTTTTCTTGTTTTGTTTGATTGTTATTCATCATGTGTTTTCGATGATTGGAAGAGTGAGTCAACTGCAACAACTATGTTTCAATCAAAACAAGTACATTAACCTAATTTTTGTAAGTATTTTTATTTATTTTTTGTTTTTACATAAAAGAAAACGCTAAACATAAATGTTTCCAAACGAAAAATGATTAGAGCAACTTCGATGTTTGTAAACCAGAAACTTGCTAGCTGCTAATTTTAGAAAGAAATCCGACTTCAATATTAAGCGAAACTACTGTATTACAACAATGCGTTTTTATTTCATTTTGAAAAAAAACCGAACGAGTGGTAGATCATACATACAAATAGTCGCATTTTTAAGAAGTAAAAATCATTTCAGTGCTCTTCATTCTATCAGTTCCAAAAAGTAATAACCTGTCATCAAAAACATCTACATATCCAAATGAATCTGTGCCAGGAGGGCATTCCAAGGCTGCTTCAAGGACCCGATGATGCAACCCATGAGAATCAATGGAGTACCCGCCTTTGTGATCGTGTCCAGCTAAGCAAACCTTCACGCAATTATATCGGTGTATCACATCCATTACTTCGTCGTAATTCCACAGAAGTGCTGCTGGGGAAGATGCACCAGGATCTAAGGGTAGATGGCAACATATAACGACTTTCTGGTTTGAATTTATTGCGTCTTGAAGCACACCATCCAACCATTCTAATTGATCTTTTCCAACCGCTCCATTGAACATGAGGAACCTTCTCTCCAGGCCCACGAGCCCTGTTGGACTGTTCTTGTCTGAATTGGGGTTTCTCTCTCCCAGACATTTCAAGGCCTCTATAGTTTTTGGATGATCTTGAGGCCAACCAATGGCACTAATATCATAGCCATCGAGGACTACAAATCTGTATTCTGGAATTGGAGAAAAATCATAGTAAGCACGGCTATCAACACTGGGAATTCTCAATAATGGAAGTAACCTGTCACGAGGGAGACTGTAGAGACAGTGATTGCCAATCATGTGATAGACAGATCCATGGCGAAAAATCTCAAATTCATGGACAATTTTCTCAACAGCATTGAGAGATTGGTCTTTGGGGCAAAACCCATCAACAATGTCCCCAAAATTGATTGCAAATTTGAGCTTTTGCATTTTGTTCCATTTCTGAACTGCCCTTTGCAAGACAAGAATGCTATGTCGATAGTAACGAGGAACACCAAGGAATGAATGCCCGTCGGGAATATCAGCATACTGCACATCCGATATAATCCCAAAAGAAAGAAGAGGTTGCTTCCCTTGTGCACTCACTATCCCAGTTGCAGAACCCATGGTCAGCAAGTAAAAGAATCCTATCAAATAACAAGAAAAAAAATGCTCGTAAGCTCATTACAGTGCCCGTGCAATTAAACTCGAACAGCTAGATAGCTTGTAAATCATGTAATCACAAGAACAACCAACAGCCAACCAACTAAATGAAATACTCAAAAAAACCAATAGATACTACTCCAACAGATTTATATCACTGCCAATATGCCCTATTGAGGACAAATACAATTTCAATTGCTAGTTAGAATCCCAATTAATGCCATATAGATGAAAATACAGACTAATTTAAGAGAAGTCCGACTATGACTCTCACTACCAAGTACCATATCAAGTTAGTTGCTTTCATAAACAACCTACTTGTAGCACCATTTAACATCACCTGGTTCACGCAAGTAATTGAGTGTAGAATATGGAAGGACTTTTGCAAGAGCAAATTTAATTTGCTTTTCTATGATCATTGAGATGGCTGATTGAGCATTTTAACTAACAAGACCACATGGAAGCCACAAAATAGCACATGTGGATTCATGAGTGACATACTGAGTTTCTTTAGTTTCTAGGAAGTCAATCTTTCTATGTCCTCGTGGGAACTCTTCGATGAGCAAAAACCAAAAGAGACAGCAATTGTGAAGTCCATTAGTAACCGCAATAATATGCAAGCAACAGGACGTAAGTTTCACACTGTTTTGGTTTGGAATGATCCACGGAGTAAAAAATTATTCTTCTTCATCTCCATGGTATGAATGTAATTTAAGATTCTAAGAGATGAAATCCATCTTGGCTATGTGATATCAATAATAAGAAAGGGGAGAACAAAAAGGAAGCCATCATGGTCTATTGACCTAATTGTAAGAATTTCTTCATAGTATTCTCATGCATAGCTCACTAATTTTGTGTCTGTGAAAAACCAGATTGAAGAAATGCTTAATTTTGAGAGCAGACAGGATGGCTCTAATGATTTGTTGTGATCACCAAAGTATATATAGCCTTAGTTGCGTGTGATCAAGTAGGCCATTAATGGGATTATATTATAATATGTGCGGGTTTGTCTTATTATTTTAGCAATACTTTATGGGTTAAGATTTACTTGTTAGTCATAAATATAAGGGTTGTTGGTCCCTACTATCACTGTTAGAATTTACCATCACCTACCACCACTACCACCTCACCTACTCCACTAAACCTAACCCACTACACCACTACCACCTCACCTACTCCACTAAACCTAACCCACTACACCACTACCACCATCCACTACACCTACATCTATATATAAGGAACCATTTGTAATAGACAGTAAATCAAGATCAATAACAATCAATAATACTATCAATTTATTTTTTACATCTCTCTATCAATTTATCTTACAATCACTATAACACGTCTCCCTATTACACTATGCAACATACAGGCAAAAAAGGAGAGAGTAAAAGGCTTTCCCACAACAAGAAAACCATGATTGTAACCATGATTGTTCAACATCAAACAGAGATTCAAACATTTTTTAATTTTTGTCATTATGTTCATTCCTTTGATTATATACATGCTCGTGATTAAGGTAAGATGTTCATATGAAAAAAATTCCACTAATTTCTTGTGTAATGGAAAGTATAAGAGAAGCAAAATCCCAACATCTATGAAAAAGTCAGGTGCAAAAGAGAATTCTAAATCTTTCTGTCTTATCTCACTGCTTCATTTCAAGACTAGCTATTTTGTCTAGAATAAGAAACCACCCAATTCTAAATTTGTGTCAAGGCATGGATAAGGAACAATTTCCATAAGCCAAGAACATAAGTAAAACCAAAAGAAATCATAAAAACTCAAATAAAAGGACTCAAAATTAGCTTAAAAAATTTCAGTCTAACATATTATTTGCAAGAGAGAGAGACAGGGAGGGAGAGAGAATGTCACTGATTAATCTAGAGATACAACTTGTTTCCTACGAGTGCAAACTTCTTCCTTCGGAATTGAAATTTCCTTTTTGGCATGGTTGTTTTTGGCCTTTGCTGATTGATTTATTTCTAGGACCTTAAGTTGCATCAATTAGAATATGCTCTGTTCGAAAAGCTTCATCTCCTTCTGTGTTGTCTTATACGTTGTTTTCCTTTTGTCTTCATTTATCAATAACCTCCTATGTTCAAATTTCTATCAAACTCAAGAATGTTGTCAACTCTACTATATTTTCTCCTTTCTTGAGTGCCAAACCTATAACCTTGTCGTTGTCCTACCATTGGTATGAGTGAAACATTAATTGACAAGAATTACTGAAATACCCTCTACATAGCTTATTCATGACATTACAATGTTGTCCTGGATCCAAGAGTGTACTAAAATTGCAGGTGTTGGTCACAAGTATCTACAACCTAAATCATCTTGTTCTAAACCAATATTGCTAAAAATCACCTACTTCAAACGTTAACTTGTAAAGTAATTAAATATGAAAAAAAAACAGAAATCAATGCAACATAAATACTTTGTTAATGTATAAAAAGTGAAACGTGATGTAAAGAATAACAGTAGCACTGAACTAGGGTTGCGCAGATTTCTAAATTATTTGTCTAAACACCCAACTAAAAAAAGTCCTTGTCCAAAGACTAGTAATAATAATAATAACTCTTTGTCCAAAGACACAGAAGAAGAACCAACCATATTCTCCGAGTTCAGAGAAAATCTTTTCACAGGACAAGTGTAGAGAAAATTCAAAGCATGAGAATATGGAGTGTACAGAAAATCTTTTCACAAGTTTCCATATTCTCCAGAAGGGAGAAATTCAAAGCATGAGATTTTTCCTGTGAAACTAAACATCTCCAATTCTTGACTGAAACCCCTATATCAAACTTATATTTGTGTCAAAATCACTCAAAACACCCTCCACTCTTGATCCAAACTTGCACCAAATTGATTTTTACTTGACATTTTTACCCAAACCATGGGAGACTTATGTTTTCTCAAAGTTTTCAAAACCATTTTGTGGCTTTCAAATTTACCACTTTGCCATTACTAAAGCTTTTACTCAAATTTATGCTTAAATGTTCTTTTTTTAATAACTAGGTGTTCAACCAGCTTGCTCGCACCTCGACTAATCTCAGAGTCCTAAAGTTGAAGATCGGGAAAACCTCCAGTGGCCCCTTGGAGTTACTCGAATTCAAGACCTTGGATCTTATCCTCCAGTCTTTATTGCTACGCCAAACCCTTCAAGTTAAACTTATGCTTAAATCTGAATTTCCACTACAATGGACGAATTTAGATTTAAGCATAAATTTGATGATAAGTTTGACTGAAGGAAAAGTGGTAAATTTGAAAATCCACAAAATAGATTTGAAATTTTTTTGTAAATTAGAGTCATAAAAAAAATGGGTAAAACTCAATTTGACAAGGATGGAGAGGTGTTTGAGTGATTTTTACCCAAATTTAAATTTGATATGGGTTTGAGTCAAAGGTTTGGAAATGCCCCAACTATGCATGTTCAGTTTGGTAACCCAGATTAACGATTTTGAAAGAAGAAAAAAAAGAAGAAAAAGACTCTCTTTTCTGATTCTGAAGCACTGGTTTTGATTAGAGCTATATACATTGTCAGGCACAAGAATCAAAGAGAAAAATAGAGGGAGAAACGGAGATCGAGCATTGATTATGAGCTTAATTGAAGTGGGTAACGAAATTACATTATTGCTCTGCATAAAACTTGAAGAACACTATGCAAGTAATGATTGGAAAAAATCATAGAAATCAAACCAGTTGAAAAGAGAGAGAGATTGATACGTACCAGACACGAATCTGATGAAACGAGCTCTAATGTCAATGTGTTATTTTGCATATATATATACACCGATATACGTATATATAGGTAGAGAGAGAGAGAGAGAGAGAGAGAGAGAGAGGAATCGTGGTCGTTAATGAAGAGAGACGAATTGTATCCTACAATTAGGATTCTGATAAAAATAAAAAGAGTTATTAAATCTTTTATATGGGTGTGAGATCCACGCATATTTGAGAGTTATTAAATCTTTTATATGGGTGTGAGATCCACGCATATTTGATTTGTGTGGATTCTAAACTCATATGATAGATTTGGTAATAAATTTAGTAATTTATTTGGGGTCCAAAGCATTTTTAAAATAATCTCTAAGTTTGGTTTCAGTTTTGTAAATTCAGTTTTTTTTTTTTAAATTAAATTTTTTCGTATTTTTTTTATATTTTGTGAATATTTTTAAAATTTTAGATATTTTTAAATTTTTTAAATGTATCTAAATAGTAAAATATTTGTGAAAAAATATTTTAAAAAATTAATAAATACACAAAAATATACTGCATTCGAAAAATATACTGAATTCTCATATACATATATATATAGTATGTAGTGAATTTTCTAAAGCTTTTTTTTTCACAAATATTATAATTTTAAACTATATTTTTGTTTGGTGTAGCTAAAAATTAAAAATATGCTTAGAATAATCAAAAAAATTTAGTGAAAACAAAAAATACAGAAAATGAAAAAGTATTATTTTTTAAAAAGTGAATTTTGAAAATTGAAACCAAAGTATCAGATTCTATTTATGTCTCGTTTTGATGATCTGAATTGTTCATATTTTAAAATTAATTAAGTGCATCATTTTTACAAAAAAAATCGAGTCGATTAGATAACGAAAATCATGTGGTTTGATCAATTTTGTATGAACCGTTTATTTTTTCATCGTCTATTTTTTTTTATACAAAATTGATTCAAACACATGATTTCTATTATCCAATTAAATTAATTTTTTATAAGAATAATATACTTAATGAATCTTAAAATAAAAACAATTTGAATTATCAAAAACGAATCTTAAAAATAAATCCAATCGGCCGAACAATATCTCTTAAATCCAATTTAGGCCTGAAGAGAAAGCCAATCCCATATATTATTGTATCGGTTGGTTAATGGCTGCTGCTACGGAGGGTTGTTTTGTTTGTAAGTTATTTGTATTTGTTTGTTTGTTTTTTTCTTTTTTTGTGTGCATATTTGAAAATAGTTAGATTTCTTTCATGTTGGGATTTTAAGATAAGAAAACTTGAGAGGCCTGCAAAATTCATTACGGGTCTCGTTTTGATAATCTGAATCGTTCATTTTGTAGGACTCTCAATGTATATTATCCATGAAAAAAATTAGAGTGATTCGATAATTGTAACTCTTTCATTTTATCGCATTGGTCTATAAAAAAAAATTGATGATCAATTTAAAATATCTATCTGTCATGCGATAAAATGAAAAAGTTATGATTATTGAATCAAATTAATTTTTTTATGACTATTATACTTTGATAGTTTTACAAAATGAACTATTTCGATTATTGAAATGAGACATGGTGAGCCTTACGGGCCTCTCAAGTTCTTTTATATTGAGATCTCAACATGAGAAAAGTCTAACCTTTTTTGAAAAAACTTATAGGAAACTAGAGATGTGATATGACAAAGTCAATAAGTCAATAATCAATTTATTTGGGGTGCTCCCCGGAAAAAGGTCTAAATGTTCTTATTATATATAATTTTTATTTTAAGAAATTATGGTAATTTTCAAAAATTTGTACTTATTAATAAAAAAAATTATAATTATAATTATTAATATGGGAGCTTTTTTCATAATTCATATTCCTAACGGTTTTATTCCATAAAACCTAAATCGTTTTTGATTATTCCATTAGGTCCATTCATTGTAATAGGACGAAATTATCCTCCCTCCACTTCTGCCGTGTCTACTCCATTCTGAAAACAAACCATTCCTATTCTATCTATTCAATCCACAAAACATTGATTTTCCAAAGAAAATCTCATCGTCGGCCCCAAAAAACTCTCAAACCGTAACCCTAGATTCATATTGCCTCACCACCGTCGTCGTCCATCGTCCACTGTTGTCGACCATTGCTATTCCACTTCATCTTACCGCTGCAAAGGTTTACATTGGAAGGAGGGTGGTTCGTTGTTTCGTGTTTCCTGTCGGTCGACTGAGTGTGGTCTATTGATTTTTGTACACACCCACAATGAGGAACAAAAGTAAGTACCATCATTTCACCCTCTATTTTTCAGTTATAATGTGATTACCGATGTATATATTTACATTACCCTATTACTATTGTTGTTTTTGGATTTGATTTTGTAAATATCAATGATGTGAACATTCACATTACTGCTCATTAATGGATAAACTTACATTAGTAGACATTGGTGTAAACATTCACATCAATGTATAATAATGTGAATGTTCACATTACTGTTAATTTCTCAATCAGTTATATTATGTTGTTGTTCACATCAATGTGTATTGATGTAAACATTGATATCAGTATTTTGCTCATGTTAGCACCAAAACAAATACGGAACACACATTACTAGGCAATAGTGTGGAAGTTGACATCAATGATGTAAACATTCACATTACTGTTTAGTAATGGATAAATACACATTAGATCAGTTAGTAAGTAAATATTCAAATTGTGACATCAATGTCAGACTTGTTGGTGTTGTTAGTTGTTGATGGTCATGAAATAATTACAGTCCAAACTGTGGATGGTTGTCAATCCTGTTTTGGTTACATGTGAATTATTGTTTCACTTGTTATTAATTAACATCAATGTCAATATGCACATTCTGAACATAATGTCAATAATTACATTTTGAACGTAATGTTAAAATTCACATTGTAACATTCTGAACATAATTTTAGTATTTACATTGTGAATATAATGTTAATATTCACATTGTCACATTTACATTGAATATTCACACCATATATTTGGCTGTAAACATTCACAGTCAAATATATAAGTGTAATGATGTGAAGATTAACATTGTGTATACATCGTGTTAGTTTAGTAGTTGTAATGTGTGACTGTTCTCACCGCTTTATGTGAATGTTGGTTTTTTATGTGCTATCATCTCTTCATGTGAATATTTGCACCAACTATTCACATACTATTTCCCCATCACCATCCCATTATTCACATGGCATATAATAATTTACACTTATTATCACTATTCATTTGTGAACAGTAATATTAAATTTGTTTGTATTTGAACAAACAAGTTTTTCCCGTAGATTTGATGGCAAAAGAAAGAGAGAGGAATCATGTGCCAAAGGCAAAGCCGATCAAACAGCTAGTCCCAAACAAGTGAACATGAAAAGGTCAACTACCGGTCAAATATCACTGGATTGGTAAAATTATTGAAGGCTATAAAATTTACAAATGGTCAATTGAAATGTATTAGAAAAACACCATTTTAGCTCTTATTTGATTATTTGATCAATAATGAAGTCAACCTCAACCATTGCATGAAATGCGATGATGTCATTGTACGTATAGTGCAGACATTCAAGCTACCCAGTGGGAAGTTTTACATTGGGGACAAGAGCATTCAGATTTTTAGAAGTGATGTATCACTTATTTTTGGGGTGGACTGCGGCACCAAGCCAATGAACCTCTCTTATGGTGCAAAACTAACGGTCGGCATCATACACCAAATGTGCAAGGATGTCAGTCGGTTAAGTGTAGCAAAAATACGTGAAATTTTGAACGAAGCATTAAAGGGCACAAAGAAACATGACAATGAAGAGGTTGCAAGATTAGTTTGCATGTATGCATGCGTCAAACTATTCTTTTTCACGTCCGGAGAAACAATTGGATGGGTATTCTATTCATACATAGACCCATTAGACAACATGATTGAGTATGATTGGGCTGAGAGCATCCGAGGCAACCCTAATGGGGTCAGTAGGCCAAAACTGGGGAAAACCAGGACGAGTCACTGGATGTATTATGTTATTAATGGTAAATCTCATAAATCTTATTCTATATTTAATATGAATATTCACGGGGTATGTCCACTCATGTTGTCAGCAAAACAAATATGACATACACATCGGTACGCATTAGTGGCAAGGTTGGCATAAGTACACACTGATGTAAATATTTACAACAGTGTGGAATGTTAGGAACATTCACATTAATGTGTATTGATGTAAACATTGACACCAGTGTTTTGCTCATGTTAGCACCAAAACAAATGTAGAACACACATTACTAGGTAATGGTGAGGAAGTTGACATTAATGAAGTGACCATTCACATTATTGTTTATTAATGGATAAACTCACATTAGTAGACACTAGAGTAAACATTCACATCAGTGTATAATAATATGAATGTTCACATTACTGTTAATTTCTCAATCAGTCATTTTATTATGTTGTTGTTTACATCAATGTGTATTGATGTAAACATTGACACCAGTGTTTTGCTTATGTTAGCACCAAAACAAATGTGGAACACACATTACTAGGCAATGGTGTGGAAGTTGACATCAATGATGTAAACATTCACATTAATGTTCAGTAATGGATAAACACACATTAGTAGACACTGGTATAAACATTCACATCAGTATTTATTAATGTGAACATTCACATTATTGATGTTTGTTATTTGTTTTAGTACTGGTTGTGTGAGCACACAACCACCTTACAACCCCGCAAACCTAATGCCATTCCGCGGTATGTAAAGTGGGACCTCACAGCCTTACATACCAACATGAGAAGCTTGGTTTAAATGAGATAAAAGTACAATAAAAAAAGTTGTGCCCATTCACATAATGAGACAAGGAAATATATAACTAACATAATATTTCCAATTCCAAGTATATGGCGGCGAGCTGATGGCATCCCTAACTGAAGTAAAGATATACCATCATACCAAATCGAATGTGGAGCCCAAACATGAGGTTTTGTTGAGTGCACCAGCAAAACAAGATGAAAGCAAAGACAATGAAGGCAGTGACAATAGTGATGGAATTTCTGGCGATGTAATGGACCTAAATGATGTTAAAGATGACATCAACACCAGCTTTAACAACCCCAATGCTGAGAGAGGTATCATCATAGCATAACCAGGTG